GCTGTTTGTAAGAAAGGCACAGAGCAGGGATTCAATAATGATCGTTGCTGATCCTGTTGTCATACTTTCTGTGGATTTTCTTACCTGTCACTCTCCTAATCTGGTTAGAAGGTCGTTTCTATCTTCCCTCCAACTCCAGGGAAGATCAAGTCTATCTCTTCCTCAATCTCCACCCTCCCACTCACCAAGGATCTTGGCAAGAGGAGAAGTTCAGAGAACAGAGGGTAGAGAGAGTGCCCAGACACTGAAATGGTCTTCAGCTAATGTCTTGCCAGAGTTGCACCCCTGGAGTGTGTGTGTTTGGGGGTGTAATTCAGGCTCTGGAAGGCTGAGAATCAGGAGTTGTGGTTTTCAGTTTTAGCTAGAAGTGACAGGTCCAGGGCATGTCACTTCTCTCTGGACCTCGGTTGTTTTTTTCCCCCCTGAAAAATGGGGTTAATGACCTTGCTCCCCTACCAGTGATGTGCTGATAAATGTTCACCAAACAGCTCTCTAAAAAAAAAAAAAAAAAAAGGCTCTAATTTTAATTTGTAGTATTTGCTAATTTCCATGGGCTCCCACCATGTCCAATTTGGGCTGATTTCACTGAATGTGGAGTTGGGAAGAGATGGACACAATTGGCTCTTGAAAATTCATAGCTGTGGAGCCAGCCCACGACTGCCCTCCTCCCCTCTGGAGCAAAAGGAGGATGAAATGAGATGAGAGGGCCGGCCGAGTTGCTCAGTTGGTTAAGAGCTCGCTCAAGAGTTTGAGCTCTGAGCAACAGTGGTTCGAGTCCAGCCCGAGCTGAGCAGCCGCTGAGCTGCCAACAGGTAGCAGGATGGCTCAGCTAAAAAATAAAAAATAAAAAAAAAAAAGATGAGAGATACAAAAGTGCTTGGTAAACTGCAGAGTGCTTTATAGATGTGGAGTTAGGATGATGATCAGCCTTTTAGTTGGAGGGACCCCAGGGTACATTAAGAGCCCTTGCCTAGCTCCAGCCCAGGAAGACATAGGTGGTGGCTTGTAGGAACCCACACTAAGTGGCATGGTGAGGAGTGCCATCTGGGGTAGCTCCTGGGATCTGAGAAAGGAAGAGAGCTAACTGGACCTCCTGCATTGGTTTCCTGATATTTGTACACGCACATCCCACTGGGCTCCCTGAAGCTGAAGCAGGTAGGATAAAAGTTAGCCATCAGGAAAACATTCCTTCTGAATACAGATCGTCAGACCCAGAATGCTGGAGCCATCAGAGAGGCCTCCTGAGGGATCCAAAGCAACAGTCACCCCCTCCTTCCTACTCTAACCCCTGGGGATTTCTATAGCCATTCTGCCGTAGGGGAATGGCTGAAATGATCTCTCAGGCCAGAAAATCAAGAGCAGGAAAGTTTAGCCTCTGCTAATGGAGTAGGAGGATGTCAGGGAGACGGAGGTGGGAGGCAAGAAGAGGAGTTTCTTCTGGTCTCCCTGCCCCCATCCCGAGAGCTAATGCTTTAAGTTAACTCTGTCCCACTGTTAATTATTAATAATAGCTTTATTTTATTGAGCACGTACTATGCATTAAGCTATTTACAAGCAATATCTCATCTAATTCTCCAGAGAGGCACATATTATTAGCCCTATTTTACAAATAAGGAAACTGAGGCCCAGGGAAGGAAGTTAAAATAACTTGTCCACCCAAAGTCCTACAGTTACTGGGATTCAAATCCAATCCTGACCCTAGAGCTGCTGAACTAGATCAACCAACTTCAGGGGCTCTGCCGGCTACTCCAGGTTGGAGTCAGGGGCCAAGGCAGCCTCATCCCTCTCCCCACAGTGAGCCCTTCCCTGTGTTGGACAGGAGCCCCCTGATATACACCAAGCAGAGCCCCTCCCCCTTGAGGCAAGAGGGCCCTTTGGGCTGCAGTTGGTGGAGGACCCCCTCTTTCCTAGGCTGTGTGATCTTAGGCAAGTCACAGCTTCTTCACTGGGCCTCCTTTCCTATTTGTAAAATAGAACTTTGGCTGAGGAAACCAGTGGGATGCCATGATCACCGAATCAGGAGTCATTATTTATAAAACCTTCCCAGAGGAGACCCTGCAACAAGGACCCCCAGAGACTTCTGCACCCTTTATGCAAACCAAAGGATGGGCCTTAGAACTCTGTATAGCCTCCTTGGCTCTCCGCCTGCCCCTAGGGGCTTGGAGGAGGTGGGATAATGGTTTGGCCAAGCCAAGGGGGTGTGAAAGTCATGACCATGAACTGAAGCCTTCAATTAAGTCTTCTTACATGTAGGAACTCAGAAAGGGCTAGAGACAGTACCCTGGAATATAGGGACTGGTGCAAGGATGAACGTGAAGCACATGCTGCAGGGTTCCTTCTGGGAAGGCCAGACCCTCGGTAAGAGGTGCAGCTCAAGGTGGGGTTCAGAGAGGCCTCCTCAGGTTCATGTGTCAGAGGAGCTGAACTGGGGTCTGAGCCCTCGGAGGCCAGGCTGAGTGAAGGCCAGGCAGACAGGACAGGGCTGGCAAGGGCAGCTGCCACCTGGGCATGGGGTCATTAGCCAGTCTCCCCAGGCCTGCCAGGCCTGAAGCAGCGAGACCATCAGGAAAACTAGAGTCTGGGGTCACAGGCCACAGCCACATTTGGCCAGTGAGGCCAGATGTGTGATGTGTCCTTGAGCATTTTCTATGTGTCAGACACCATATACACATTATCTCACTTAATCTTCATGACGACCCTGTGAGGTTGGTCCACAAGCCCCATTTATCAGAGGAGCAAAGTGAGATACAGAGAATTACACAGTTTGTTCAAAGTCACTCAGCCCAGAAGTGACACAGCTGGGACTCAAACTCAGGTTGGCTCAAATCCAAAAGCCTTGCTCTTACCCACACGCTATTCCGCCTCCAGAGAGGGGAGTGACCACCACCCCACCTGTTACAAAGCCTAAGGCTTGCGGGAAGGAAGGACCCCTTGCCTTGCCTCTGGAGGTGCTGGAGAACCCCTTGGGAAAGCAGCTCTGGGTTGAGGCCAGGCGTGGCAGGCAGGCCACAGCTGTCCAGGAGCTGTCCAGGGAGTGGGGGCCAGGCTGGGCAGTCATGCGGAGCTGGAGATGGGCTGCCCTGCACCTTGGGCCCCATGCCTGCTCCACTGCGGTGTCCAGTTACGGCCAGCTCGGCGCTTCCCCGGTCACGCCACATTTAGCATTGCCGAGTGAGCGGGCGCCGGGACATGGAGAAGGGACGGTGGAGACTCTTGAAGGGGCGGGAGAGCCTCCCACCAGGCCCCACCTGGACCCCAGCTACCAGCCCCCTTCACCACTGATCCCCTGAGGGACTTTGGGCAAATGCTTTCCCTTCCTTGTCTACTGTCAAAACGATGGAGGTAGTTTATTTAGCAAAGATGCACTATGGGGTCACTAAGGCCATCCCTCCTTCCCAGAGCTCCTGGGAGAGTATGGCTTGGGAAATGCAGTTATTCTGCTCTGCTTGATTGGGTTTTGGGTAGGAGGGATAAGCATAAACTTCATGCTTTTCTTGCTGCCGGGTCCCCCATCTTATCCCACCCCAACTCTGAGCCCCAGCAAATGAAGAAACTGTAAGAGGAGTGCAGCCTCCAGAATCCGACAGACCTGAGTTCGAATCCTGACCTTGGGAAAGTCACGTAACCCCTCTGAGCCTCCGTTTCCTCATCTGAAAAGTAGAATTAATAATGTACCTTCCTCACAGGTGTTCTGACAAACCAATGAGAAAATTCTCCAAATCATTTACACAGTGGCCTGCCTGAGCATGTGTTCAGCCAATGGTAGCCTTTATCAGAGACCACTGGGTAAAGAGGAGTAACTTCGAGAGCAACTGCCCTTTGCAGGCGGTGGAGGAGGAAGGCAGAGACCTGAGGATGACAATGGCAGTAAGAGCCAAACTAATAATGATATGAATAATGAGAGCTGGCGTTTATTGAGTACTTACTATACGCTAAGCATCGTGCTAAATAGTTTGTGTGCGTGATTTCATTTGATGCAGCATGCCCACGAAGGGGGTCCTAGCTCTTTCCCTGGTTTGTAGATGATGACGCTGAGGCTCAGAGAGCGTTGCTGGCACCACTAGCAAGGAAAAGCCGAGGATGGCTTTGAGGATAACCACGTGGCTATGCTGGGGACAGAGCTCTTCTATAATTCTACAAGGTCTGAGCAGAAAGAGCCCTCAGATATCATGTAGTCCAAGCCCCCTGTTTTACAAATGGTAAAACGACAGCTCAGAAACGGATGTGGCCCACACAGAATCACAGCTAGGAGATGGAACTGGGAGGACGTGGGAGAAAACAGCACATGCTAGACATTCTACAGTGGGCCAGTGGCAGCATCCCCAGTACCATGCCAGGCTTGCGGGTCCACCAGGCAATCAAGTCCCCTCAAGCCCCTAGTAGTACACTATATTCATGCCAGCAAGGCCAAGGCCTCCAAGGGTGGCGCTATAGCCCCGGCCTCTCCTGAGGGCTGGTCGCCTGCAGTATGAGGGTCACTCCCACCTCAGGCCCGGGCCTAGACTACTCTCCAGCTCCCCTTCCTCTCAGGACCACCCACTTGCTCAGCCACTGCATGGGGACTGCTTGCCACCATCCCCTAGCCCAATCTTTCATTGAGGAGACAAGAGACAGAGAGCAAGGAGCCAGAGGCAAGGGTCTCACAGGGAACCACAACTGCTTCACTACTCTGCAGCTGCAGAGTCTAGAGCAGCTAAGCCCTCCCTCCCTGAAGGGCGGTGGAGGTGGTGGGGAGGCTCCTAACTTGCTCATTTTGCTCTCTCTCCACCAGTTTTCTCTGTGTGTCTTGCTCTCTCTCACCGTTGTTTACCTGCTTCCTTCTGTTTCTGATGTTTCTCTCAGTTTTTCTGTTTGTCTCTCTGCCTGCCTGTCTCTCTCATTCTCATCAGATGTCTGGCTGGAGTCAGGGTCCCAACCCAGGGGTGGGGTGGGAGTGGAGGTGGTGGACTTAGGGTTCGTCACCCCTCGACGTTGGTCCTCATTCTTATCGCAGCCGGCTTTCTTCGAGGCCAGGACTGGGTGATGGTGTCACTACTCCCGCCGCAGTCTGACGTCACGCTGCCGGGCCCCGCCATCCTGGAGGGCGAGCCCCAAGGGGACCTCATGCAGGCGCCAGGCCTCCCAGGCTCCCCTGCCCCACAGAGCGTAAGTACCTGGCACCTTGGCCTGGGCTGAGGCCAAGGCCTGAGGGTTGAACACACAGCTGGTGAACCACTGACCCCACCCGCCAGGGACCGCCTGGGTCTATCTTGTCCCTTCCACCAGCAAACAAGTACCCAGTGGCTCCAAGATCCAGAAGTATTCAGATATGGCCTTTGCTTATCCCTTGGGTCCGGGGCTTTCCTAGGGCAGGAATGTACATCCATTTACTGGGGGGAACCCCAGGTTTAAGAGCAGTATGCCCTTATCAGACTTGGTTTCCAAGGGCAAGCTAGGTCTTCTCCATCATTTGGGGACTCCCCAGAGCTCAGCCCCAGACCCCTTTACCCTAGCACAGAGTAGGACCCTGGTCCAGCCTCCACTCACAGGCCTCTACCTTTTGTCCACTCAGAAGCATGCCGGCTTCAGCTGCTCATCTTTTGTTCCCGATGGCCCTTCAGAGAGGGCACCCTCATTGCCCCCCCACAGCCCCAGCATCGCATCACCAGGCCCCGAGCAAGTCCACTGCCCAGCCGGCCCTGGCCCAGGTCCCTTCCGGCTGTCACCCTCAGACAAGTACCCAGCCTTCGGCTTTGAAGAGGGCTCAGCCAGCAGCCCTGGGCGCTTCCTTAAGGGCAGCCATGTGCCTTTCCACCCATACAAGCGGCATTTCCAGGAGGACATCTTCCCTGAGGCCCAGACAGCTCTGGCCCTCGAGGGACACTCCTTTAAGACCCCGGAGGTGCTGGAGGCCTTCGAGGAGATGCCCGTCGATGTGGGGGAGGCCGAGGCCTTCCTGCCTGGCTTCTCAGCAGAGGCCTGGTGCAATGGACTCCCCTACCCCAGCCAGGAGCACAGCCCCCAAGTCCTGGTAAGTACCAGTGGTCAGTGGGCATCCCACCTACCCTCTGTGCCAGCTCCCAGCAGTCCAGACAAGTCCTCTGAGATTGAACTCCCCACTTTCCCTTTCCAGACATGTCCACTCAGAGTCAGTGTACATCAGGGAAGCAGCAAGCCCAGAGAATTGGGGTCTCTTGGCTTCATTCCGGGCCTCCAGGTCATCTGGGGAAGGGATGCTGGCCTGGCCCAGCTTGTAGGGGATGAGGTGGGGGAGGCAGGTCAGGCTAAGCAAGCTGGCAGCTTCCCAGAGGCTCCTGAGTCAGGATTCCAGTGTGTGACTTCTCTCTGTTTGTTTAAGTGTAAGAATCCCCAGCCAGACCTACACGCCCATATGCAAATGTGAGAAGAAAAACACATTCCAGAGGCCAAGAGAAAGGGTTTAGGGAGGAGCCAGGGAGCACAATCTTCCTCTCCAGCTTGTTGGGCACACAGAGCTGGAAGAGGGCTTACCGTCTTCTCGAAGGACCCTTCCTGACCCCATTCTTTGCTCAGAGTGGGGCTTAAATATATTTGTAGAAGTATCTTGAAAGCACCTTGGAAGGTCAACATGTCCTTCTACCACCATATTTACAAGCTGTGTGACTTTGGACAAGTCACTGAACTTCTCTGAGCCTTATCCGAAAAGTACGTTTAACAGTATGTATCTGCCTCATAGGCTTGTTGCCTTGGAAAGAGGAAAGCCAAAAAGAGCTTTGCTTTCTGCTCCCCAGCTTTGGAGGTCCCTGAGGTGAGGAGCGCTGAGCAGGCTCAACCTGGGCTATTCCAGCCCTTCTTACCTCTTGCTTTCAAACAGGCACCCATTACATCTCAAAGCCACCCCCCAACAAAAGCCCGTTTCCCAGGCTTGGAAGATAGAGAAGTGGGTTGGGCTACCTACCAGGATCGTGTTCTTGTTCTGGAGCCCTTTCGCGGCTTCTCTTCAGGCCCACTGAACACGACAGCAGCCCACAGGGAGGCAGGCATATCAGCTGCTGCCTGCCCCCACACCCCCACCCTTTTGCCCCAATTATCTACCCAACGACAGCCCCTGGTCACTCTGCCAGGTGATTTCTTTCAAGTGTCCCATTTAATCCTCATGACAGACGTCTGAGAAAGAGTTTCCACTATCTCCATTTTGCGGTTGGGTAAACTGAGGCTCCACAGATGCCAAGTGACTTGTTGTCCCTTGGTCTGTAAGCAAGGAGGCTGAGATTTAAGCCCAAGCCCTTACCCCCTGCACAGTGGAGAAGAGTTTGGGCCCAGAGACCCATAGCTAGCTGGTCGACTCTCTAGGTGATCTGGGCACATCGCTTCCCATTTATGGGCTCAGCCCCATCATCTGCCAAATGAGGGGGTTGGACACAGAGCTTTTGGCCCTTCCAGGCCTAAGATTCTATGATTATGGCTATCTGTGCATCAGCAACCCTAGGGCACACCCAGAAAGAGCTCACAGCTGACTTGACCCTCTGGGCCCAGATGCTGTTGCCCAAGGCCCCTTGTAACCCCAGGAAGAGTGGTCTACCTCCTCTTTGCCTTATTTACCTTCCAGTACCTAGCTGCCCACCCTTCCTGGCCCTACTCAGGGTAGAGCTCTGTGCCAGGCCCTGGGGGCTCTGCGTGGGGCTCACAATTCATAGGAAGCCAGAATCTGATCACCACCACCATCAGCAGCTACAGTCTCCCTGTGCCAGGGTGAGAGAGCGCCATGGGCTCATGCAGACCAGCAACTGGGCAGACTCCCTGAAGCAGGGAGCAAAGGCTCTGAGTTGGGGATGGACAGAGCAGAGAGTGGCCTCACCAGTCCCCTCCAGGGAGCTTCCCTGGACTTTGCAGAAGAGGGAGTGGCAGGGTCTGGGGGCCCCAGCTGAACCAACCTGTTTGGACACTTCCTGTGCTCCCCTCACCATGGCTCTGCAGTGGGAATTCTGGAGCCGTGATCTTTCCCGGGGTGTCCTTTGCAGACCTATTCTGAGAAGCTAGGGGCTCAGAACCAGCAAGCAGGTCCCAGAGCGTGGCTTGGTAAGTGGGGTCAGGCACTGCACCCTTGTGCCACTCCAGGGAGATCGCTGGCCCTATCCCAACCTCAGTGAAGTCATTGACAAGTCTCCCCCACTTCTCTGGACAGCCCACACTCAGCCTCTCACCTGCGATGAGGTTGGGGGGGTAGGGAGCGTTGTCAGTTCCAGCCCTAGCTCTACCACTAACTTGCTGAGTTCCCTCAGAAAATTCCGTGCCCTTCTCTAGTCTCTGTTTGTTCTCCAGGAACAAGCTTTGGGGGAGAGAATGTAGGGGTTGTTTTTGTGGAAGGTTTAAGACGCAGAAGAGAAAAAGGAAGAAAAATAATGCCCAGCCTAGTCATCTGCTTTTTCTTTCAGCAGGGATCGGAAATCAAGGTCAAGCCTGCAGCTCTGGAGAGTGGTCCCGGGATGTACTGTTTCCAGCCCCCCTTGCAGCACATGTACTGTTCCTCCCAGCCCCCCTTCCACCAGGTGGGTCTGGGGCAAGTGAGCATGCTTTCCCAGGGTCTCAGGGTATTATGTGGGGGTGTGGTGTGTGGGGGTGTATATGAGTGAGTGTGTGCACACCCGGGTGAGCAGGTAAGGACAGCAGGGCCCTGACCCTCAGGCTGGGCCACCTGGGGTGGGGGACAGTGGTTCATGGGGAGTGAAGCCATTACTCTTCTCTAGGGCTGGGTGGGGCTTTTCTGAGACCCAGGCTGGACCTGAGAGGTCTCAAAACAGAGAATGGGGCCTAGACTGGGGCAGGGCCCGGATGTAAACCAAAAAGGGAGGGGAGGCAGACAAAGACAGGGCAGAGAGAAAAGAAGTATGTGGAGGGATACAGACGGCTGAGAAAGGCAGGGAACAATGGGCTGCCGAATGGGTCAGCCACCATCTTCACATGTGACCTTGGCCTCAAACTTCCTTTTAGCCTAGACAGGGTGGGACCAGGCATGGGGTAAGGGGGCCTTCCCACCTGGAAGCTCCAAGTTCCCATCATTTTCGGCCCTTTCCCCCTTGCCCACCCCACTGCCCAGCCTCAGCTCCTCCCAGATGTATAGGATGCCGAGGAATTGCCCCACACTGGCATGGGATGGAGGTTTTTAAGAAGAGATAGAAAGGAAAGCGCCCCAGAGCAGCTAAGCAGCTCCGAGGAGTCACTGGGCAAGACGGAGCAAGTGGCTGCCCAGCGCCCAGCTCCATCCACCTGCAGCCTGGCACTGAGACAAGCCCTGCCTGTGGAGCAGGTTCTACTCCCAGCCTTTGGCATTAGCCCTGATTTTGGCCCAGCCAAGGAGGCAGGCACGTGGCGGGGGGGAGGTAGTCAGACTGCTTGCTTTGTGGGAAGAAAGAAAGAGATGGAAGGAAACAGAGGGGACACATGAGGGGTCATCCCATGAAGGGTCCAGCTGGAATGGCCAAAGCCAGCCTGAGGTTTACGGTCTGACACAGGGTAGGTGTCCCTGAGGCAGCCTGGCCTATCAGAGAAGGAGCCACTGCAGGGCTAAGGGGCTACCAGACCTTAAATGGCCTCACCATGCCCAGCCCTGCTTCGATGCCCTCTGCATTCTGGGTCCCCTCCTCCAACAAGATGGCCGCACCCAGGGCTTTATGGAGCCTGCAGAGAGGGTGACTCAGGCACTAAGTGCCTCTTGGATGACCTGGAAAAAGCACTTGAGCTTGGAGAAGATGGGGGAGTCAGAGTCTCCCTCCCCCCGCCTTGCCCCCATAAAACACCATCCCTGGCACCGCAGCCACTCCCTTTGCTGTAAAACCACCTCTTACCCCCACCTGCCCACCACCATGACTGGCCCTTTCAAAGAGCCATTGAAACTCGTAAAAGGTGGCAGTGCCCAGCAAACGCCCAGGCTGGACATCCCACTTCCGGCCCAGCTGCTCCAGGAGATGGAAGGGAGGCCTGGAGCGCCTGTCCGGAAGGGTGCGGGAGCCAGTGCAACCCCTCACTCTTGTAGCCCAGCCAGACTGCTCACCCTTAACCATGGCAACCAGAGTACCTGGAGGGACCGAGAGAAAGGAGCTGGAGGAAAAGAGCTTTGAGGCCTCTGAGATCCTGAACTCTAGCATGTGGATCTCCTCACGGGCCCTCCGATGTCCACACCCTTGACCAGCCCCCTCAGATAGCTCTGCCATTGGAGTCCATGACCATGGGTGGTAGAGGCTAGAACCAGGAAGAGAAGAATCTAGCCTTAGCTCCCTCTCTGGATGTATATGAATGGGGGAAGGGGACCCCCCTCCTTGGGAAGGCTGGTTCCCATAGCGACCATTCTGCCCCTTTGACCTCTACAGTATCCACCAAGTGGTTGCAGCTACCCTGTACCCTACCTGGGCTCCTCACACTATCCGTACCAGCGGATTGCACCCCAGGCCAGCACCGATGGGCACCAGCCTCTCTTCCCCAAACCCATCTACTCCTACAGGTACGTCTCCAAGCACCCCTGGGTGGAAGAAAGAGGGGTGAGAGGACCCCTGGGGAAACTGAGGCATGGAATCCTCGTGATATAAGGGTAATGGTGACACGGGGGAGGAGGGAGTCATAGCCAGTGGGCTTCCAGGGGATGTTGGAGAGGGGATTCCTACATGGGGATGGGGGATAGACTAGATCACCTCTGCCCTCTCGTCTGACTCTGGGGAGCCATGTCTGTGGCTCACTCCGTTTCCCCACCCTCCCTCCCCAGATGCAGCGAGAAGCCCTACCCCATAGCTCCACTGGAAGTAAGTGAGGGATCAGAACTGCAGAGGCAACTCAGTTATTCAGCATCTGCCAGATCCCATGTTCCTTCTCTGGGGCTAGGGTTTTAAGTGCCAGGCCAGCAGCACCCAGCCCATCTGGGAGAGCTTCCATCGGAACTTTCCTTCATCCAACCCACAGGGACACTTGACTTCCAATGTGCCAGGCCCCACATGGGGTCAGGTCATCAGCCAGTGTGAGCTCAGGGGAAGGAAAAAGAATTTAAACATCAGCCAGGAGCACAGAGAAGGGGTTTGTGGGAGGCAGGATGGTGCGCAGAAAGGAGTACATGCAATTCTTGGAGAACAGCAGAACTGAATTCAAGTCTAGAATTTACTAGCTGTGAACCACAGGCAAGTTATTTAATCTCCCTGAGCTTCTGTTTATTTATCTGTTAAGAAAGAAAAAAAGAAAGAAAGAAAGAAAGAATAGAAGGAAGGAAGGAAGGAAAGAAAGAAAGAAGGAAGAAAGAAAGAAACAAAGAAAGAAAGAAAGAAAGAAAGAAAGAAAGAAAGAAAGAAAGAAAGAAAGAAAGGAGAAAGAAAAGCAATATTCAGGACTTTGGAAGGACTAACTAAGAGAATATGCCCAGCACATTGTAGAGGCTCAAGAAACCTTCATTCCCTCCCTTACTATCCAACATTTATGCAGTTGGCTGAGGGCTGATTGGTAATGACAGCTTCCATTTAATGAGTGACTTCTATGTGCTAGGCATCATCCTTAATCCTCATAACTCTGAGGTAGCTATTACTTTCTTCACTTCAAAGCTGAGGAAACTGAAGCTCAGAGAGGTTAAGGCGCTCACCCAAGGTCACACAGCTAATGAGTGACTAAGCCAGGGTTGCAATCTAGGTCTCTCAGATGCCACAAGACCCTCATATAACTGTGATTCCTGACTTCAGTGGACAGTTTTTTATCCCTTCTTTCAACCTCATAGAGCCTCTCACCCATTAATTCTGCAGCAGGTTATTTCTCCTCAACTACTCCAGCTGGTGTAGGGGGGGAGACACGGGGCCTGGTCAGAGTTTCAAACTCTCGGGGCTTTCTCTGCCTTCAGCATCCTCATCTTCATGGCCCTTAAGAACAGTAAAACTGGGAGCCTTCCTGTCAGCGAGATCTACAATTTTATGACGGAGCACTTCCCTTACTTCAAGGTGAGCCCCAAGGTCTGCTCCCACTCCCCCACCCCCCAAGTCCTGGGCAAGCCAGGCCTCTCTGAAGCCAGAGGATTCAGTTGGAGGATGGGAGAAGAGTTAGAATAAAAGCCAGGAGAGGGCTTTCTCCCAACATGCTTCTCCTTGTCTCCACTTAAGAAGAATCAAGTTCTGTGTGTGGAACAGAAAGCCCAAGCCATTTACCCAGAGTTACACAGCAGGCTGGAGTCAGACCTTATGCTGGTGAAAGGTGGACATGTCAGTCCTGTTAGGCTTCAAGGAGCATCCACCTATCCCAAGTGGGGAGAGACAGCTTGGGAAGACATGAGGGCTTGTCCCCACCCCTGCCCCCACAATGCTGTAGGGCTGGAGGAATTTGGGTAGGAACTGGCCAGCCAGAGTGATATGGATGCTGGGACTACAGAACCCATTGCCTTCCAGAGAGAGATTAGGATCTGCCTCTGTGGGCGGCAGGCTCAGCGGCAGTTCTGCCAGAAAGTGGGGTGTGGGCTTCATGGTCTTTGAGTGTCCCAGGGAACTGGCTGGCTCATCTGACCTTTCCATGTACAGCACCTGGTTCCCATCATCCACAGAAGGGGCTTCTGGGAGCTCTACTGGACTCCCTCCATAGGTACAGGTGCCCTTCTCTCCAGATGGGCAAACACATCAGAGAGGGTGATCAATCTGCTCAAGTTCACTCAGCAGGTGGGACCAGTTGCTAGCTCAAGCTGTTTGGTTTCACAAGCCACACACTTCCCTTCTCTGCATGCCCGTCAGACCCTCCAGCAGAGACTGCTTCTCCTGGGGTGGGTGCAGGGGAGATCAGAACTTGTGTGTGAGGAGTGCCTTCTCCAAGACCTGCACCCTGGTGGATACAATTTCATCTGCTATCCAAGCAGAGGGCGGGAGCTGAGGTCCAGGTAATAATCCACAACTCAGCTCCACCCGCCAGCGGGTGATTCCCAGCCCCACGTCTTCCCGATTGTCCTGCCTAGGGATAATTTGAGGCTGATATTCCAACAAGTTTTGCTGGGCTGCCGTCAGATGAGGAGTGGGCAAGATGGCCAGAGTGGTCTGGCCAGGAATGGAAAGGCATGGTCATCTACCAAAGGTTCTGGAAGGAAGAGGAGGGTTGAGAGTTGTCTCTGGGATTCAAGAAGCATCCAAGTCGGTACTCAGGGCTTCCCCATATCCCAGCAGGTCAGGGGACCAAACTCTCCCTAACCTCTAAATCCTTTGGAGGGTCCTCCAGGGCTTTAAGGGACCAGGCCAGAGAGAAGGAACTGAGGGCTCTGCCCCACTCTTCTCAGCCTTTCCTCGCTGCTGACTCCCGACCTGGCCCCCAGCCCCTCCCTGCATCTCATCTTCCTGGCTTAATTATTTTTCCTGGGAGCCGTGTAATCCCTGTTTTATGGGGCTGAAGAGTGAAGAGGTCTAACAGCTTTTTTTTTTTGGTTCTAGTTGTTGTTCTTAGCAGTTGCATCACTCCCTCACTCCCAAGTTTACATTTGACTTCAGAGAGAAAGCATCTGTGAGGATGGGACGGGCCCCAGATTGTGAAGCCAGCCCTATGGGGTGACCTGGGCAGGGCCCTTAACTAAGGGACAGAGTTGGAGTCTGTGGTCTGTCACTTCCTCCTTGTGCCATCTAGGGCTAGGCCCTTTCTTCACTGGACCTCAGTTTCCCAATCTGTACAATGGTCAAGTTGGACCAGTTGGCACATAGATTGCGTCTAACTCTGACACTTCTCCCTGACCCACCTAAGGAATTAGTTCAAAGATTCCCTGCCTCCTCTATTTCTCACTCCCCATTTGAAGGTCATCTTTCTGGGCAAGAGCAGTGTGGACCGGGGTGGGCAGCACTCATGCCCAAGGTAGGTGAGGTGGGTATCCTGTAGCCCCATGAGTCAGGGATGTGGGACTGGGGAAGTGTCCAGCCACTGGACATAATTACTAGTGCTGACCATCCTTCTTCCAAACAGGAAGTGGCTGGGGTGTGGGCTGCCCTGGCATCCCAAAGTCATAGATTTATGGGGCTATGAAAGGGCCCAATGCCTATTAAGTCTGCCCATCAGGCTACACAGCCTTGACTCCTAGTAGGGACAGTCATGGGAGATGAAGGTGAATCCCCAGCTGGCTGGATTGGAGGCTCAAAAATTCTTTCTCATGACCCTGGGAGCCTTGGGGGTGGGGGGTCATCTCAACCAGCCCCCTGCCCCAGGCCAGCTGCCCTTGAGAAAGACTTCAGCAGTTCCTGCCAGCAACTTGCAGTGACGCTGGCATCAGGGCCCAGTTCTGCTGGGTGTGATTCAGCCTGGCTGCTCCCTGGGGCAAGTGAGCTGGGGAGGAGGGAGAGGCTACTTCTCATTAAGCAGAAACTTCAAGCTGAAAGAGAGAGGGGCCAGGAAGTGAGGGTGAAGGGGCCCCACAGGCCAGAGTGGGAGACCTGCCTGCAGTCAGCCCCTTTTGGGCCCAAGACTGTCCCAGAGCCTGGAACAGAGCTGGAGGTGGGAGAACTGGGGGTGCCTACTAGCACCTCCGCCACCGCCTCTCACCCACTGAGTCAGCCTAATGATTTTTACAACCCTCCCTGGGCACAATTACTGGACTGGTGGCATGACCGGGCCTCCTAATGGGTGTTTATTCTGTTGGCACGAGCACTCCCCGCCTGAAGGCTGGCCTCCCCACCAGGGCACGCCCCCCCGGGCACACTCATGTGAACACTCACACCCACACACGCATACAATCATGGATACCCACACACACCCAAAGGGACTTTCTCACACACACTCATCCTCAAGGACACACATGTCCTCACACTCAGATGAATTCACAGACTCATTCCCAGGAGATGAGACAAGCTCACACCAAGGAGACACACTTAGGGACTAGGGACATGTGCATACTCCTACACACAGTCTCCCTCTCTCTCGCTCTCTCTCTCTCTCTCTCTCTCTCTCTCTCTCTCTCTCTC